CTGGAGGAGGAAGCCGCATATGCGACGCTGGAGCCTGAGAGAGAACTGGGGCCCACACAGTGGGAGCGGGACTGTGGCTCCAGAGAGGAGGGTGGCTGGCTCTGCAAGGTTCCCCAGGCCCTCCTGTGCGATGCCAGGCAGAGCTGCCACAGCCCCGGAGGGCAGTGACTAAGGCCCAGCTCTGGAGTCAGGCAAGGTCCCCAGTCCACCGAAGGGGGCGATGCTGTACCCACCCGGGACGGCAGGGGGAACCAGCGCCCGCAAGGCGTCCAGCCCCGCGCCTGGCCCGTGGCGCGCGCCCTTCTGCGCCCTGACCAGGAGCAGGCTCAGGGCAGCGTGGGCCAGCGGTGGTTACCGCAGCACCACACGGGGTTACCGGGTGACTGCCGCCAGAGAGCGCGTCTCTACTGGCTGCCGGGGGCGCCTGTTTGCTGCACACCACATTCGATTGGTCCATGCAGCCGGCGGGTCCGCCCACATCCCCCCCCCCCCCGGCTGCGCTGTAAGTGCTGCCTGGCTCAGTCCCAGCCTCAGTGCCCGCGACTGCGAAATGGGCGTAACCATGAGGAGTCCCTGTGAGAGGTCTGGGGAGCATGAAGAGCAGGAGGAGGAGGCGGCGGCGGCGGCCGCTGGGTGTCCTGCAGGGGTTCCAGAGGCGGGAGCTCGGACGCCGACTGGGACTCCGACCTGAAGACATAAGGTGCCCCAGGCAGGGGGTTCAGGCCTGTCTCCTCACCTTGGGGGCTTCTAGGCAGGGGTGGAGGGGGCAGGCTGGGGCCGAGGGCGCAGGCGACCCCTGTCCAGCAGAGAGCACATCCCTCCGTGGGACCCCTTCAGGGCAGCTGGCAGCCCCTCCAGCCCCGGGACTTCCCAGAAATGCTCTTGGCAGCATCAGCTGTTCCACCATCAGAACACGCTTCCAGAAAGATGATAAAATGCAGAAACCCTAGCCACACCGTCTAAGAAGATGTGTCTCACCCCCTCCTGAAATGTGATCAGGGCTGGGTTTTCCCACCAACAGGAGAAACTAAGCTGATGGACGTATAGAACTTAGAGAAGGAAAAAACAAAGGTCAAACAAAACAGTGTTCAGTTTTTATTTTTCTTATGCTTAATTGATCTAACAGATACATTTTGTTCAAAATAATCATTGTAAAAATACCTTTGGTGATAACAGTTCATGGATAAGTGAAATGTAGGAGAGCCGTTTTATAAGGGATGGGAGGGAGGAATTGGGAATGCTGTATTATAAGGGACCTGCACTAACTATGAAGAAACATAGTGTCATTTCAAAGGGAACTGAGGGTTAGTTGTAAATTTATATTTTAAGCTCTAGGGAAATCATTTAAAAACTTTAAAAGAAGTATAGTTGATATGCTAAAAGAAAAGAATAAAAGGAATCATATAAAATGCTCAATTAAAACCAGAGAAGGCAAAAAATAATTTTAAAAGGGCAAGACAAAAGAAGAAAGACAAAAGCAACGAACAGGAACAGTTACAAATATGGTGGATATTAATCCAACTATATCAATAATCACTTTAAATAGAAATGGTCTAAATACAGCCATTAAGAGACGGATTTCATGAGACTGGATTAAAGAACTAAGAAGGAACCACATGCTGTCCACAAGAAACCCACCTTCATTATAAACACACAGAGAGGTCAGAAGCAAAGGAGAGAACAGGATCAGCCAGGAACACATATCCAAAGAAAGCTAGAGCAGCTGAATTAATTTCAGACAAAGCCGACTTCAGAACAAGGAAAATTCTCAGGGATAAAGAGAGGCATTCCAGGGCCGGCCCCGTGGCGTAGCGCCTAAGTGCCCGCGCTCCGCTGCTGGCGGCCCGGGGTTCGGATCCCAGGCGCGCACTGAGGCACTGCTTGTCAGTCCATGCTGTGGTGGCGTCCCATATAAAGTGGAGGAAGATGAGCACGGATGTTAGCTCAGGGCCAGTTTTCCTCAGCAAAAAGAGGAGGATTGGCATGGGTGTTAGCTCAGGGCTGATCTTCCTCACAAAAAAAAAAAAAAAAGATAGGCGTTCCGTCATGTTAAAGGGGTCACTTCTCCACGAAAACCTAACAGTCCTTAACATACGTGCATTAACAACAGAACATCAAAATATGTGAGGAAAAATCGATAAAACTGCAAAGAGAAATAGACAAATCCACCACTACAGCACTACACATTGCTCTCTCAAGAACTGATAGATGCAGCAGGAGAAAACCAGTAAGGACGAACTGAACAGTGTCACCATCAAGTGGATCTGATTAACATTTATAAAACACTGCACCCAACAAAGAATACACAGTCGTCAAAAGCTCACATGAAACATTCATCAGACAGACCACATTCCAGGTAAAAAAAAATGCCACTCCGGGCCGGCCCAGTGGCATAGTGGTTACATTCGCGCATTCCACTTCGGTGGCCCGGAGTACACCGGTTCGGATCCTGGGCGCAGACCAACTCACCCACTCATCAAGCCATGCTGAGGCAACATCCCATATAGAAGAGCTACAACTCTACAACTAAGATACACAACTATGTACTGGGGCTTTGGGGAGAAAAAGGAAAAAAAAGAGGGGGATTGGCGACGGATATTAACGCAGGGCCAATCTTCCTCAAAAACAAAAAAAATCCCATTCCTCAACAAATTTAAAACAATAGAAATCATATAAAGTATGTTCTCAGACCAAAAAAGACTATAAAGTAGGAAACAAAAAGAGAAGAATAGCTGGAAAATACCAAAATATTTGCAGATTAAACAACACATGGATCAAAAAGAGAAGTCTCAAGACAAATTGCAAATATTTTCCACTAAATGAAAATGAATATATAACCTATCAAAATGTGTGGAATGCAGTGAAAGCAGTACTCGGGGGAATTTATAGCATTGAATGCACATATGAGAAAAAAGAAAGATCTGAAACAATAATCTAAGCTAGAAGAAGAAAGCCTAAAGCAAGCAGAAGAAAGGAAATAATAAAAATTACAACAGAAATTAATGACACTGAAAATGGGAAATCAATAAAGAAATCAATAAAAACAAAACTAGTTCTTAAAAAAGATTAAAAAATGGATAAACATATAGCCAGACTAACTCATAAAAAAAGAGAGAAACACAAATTACTAATATCAGAAATGAGAGAGGGGCTATAATTACTGATCCTATGAACATTAAAAGGATAATAAAGAAATATTTAAACAGGGAAATGATATCTTTCCTGATGAGTTCTGTCGGATCTATAGCGACTCTTCAAAGGAACTAATTCAAATCTTCCCCTAACCCTTTCACATTAAACCTTTAATGTGCATAAACAAAATATTGATGAGGATATGATTTACTGTCTAAATCATTTCCAACTAGTAAGACTTATGCATAAATTAGACATCACCAAAATGCAAAAGTTTTGGGATCCAAAGGACTACCATTAAGAATGTGAACAGAGAATCCACTACACAGAAAAATTTGCAACTCATACACCTGATAAGAAACATACCTAGAATACATAAAAGACTACAACAGTTGAGTTATAAAAAGACAAATAACCCAATTTAAAAATGGGCCAATGAGCTAAACAGACATTTCTCCAAAGAAGGTATACAAGCGGCCATTGAGCACATGAAAAGATGTCAACATCATTAGCCATCAGAGAAACACCAATCAAAACCCCAGCGAGATATCATTTCACACCCATAGGACGGCTATATCAGAAAGACAGATGGTAAGTGTTGGTGAGAACGTGGGGAAACTGGACCCCTCACACACTGCTGGCAGGAATGGAAATGGTGCAGTCACTTTGGAAAAAATTCTTCTGGGTATTCAAATAGTGAAACAGAGAGTTACCATGTGACCCAGCAATCCCACTCCCAGGTATACACACCCAGAAGAAATGAAAGCAGATGTCCATGCAAAAACTTGTACAGGAATGTTCACAGCAGCAATATTCACAATAGCCAAAAAGTGGAAACAACCCAAATGTCCATCAACTGAGAAATGGAGAAATACCCTGTGCTACAGCCACACAATGGATATTATTCAGCATCAAAATCAATGAAAGGCTGACCCATCCCACAACATGGATGGACCCGGAAACCATTATGCTGAGTGAAAGAAGCCAGACACAGAAGGTCACACATTGTATGATTCCATTGATATGGAATGTTCAAAATGGGCCAATCCATAGAAATAGAGAGTGAATTTGTGTTTGCCTAGTGGGGGTTGGGGAAATGGGACTGTCTCCTAATGAGGAAGGTGTCTCTTTTGGAGGGATTTGGAGGGATAATGGAAAGCTTCCAGAATCAACTGTGGTGAAATCGCACAGTTCTGTGAATATACTAAAAAACACTGAATTGCACACCTTCAAGTGTGACTTGTATGTGAACCATATCTCACTAAAGCTGTGACAATGATTAACAGACTGCACTGTACATCATCAACATAGAAAGTAACCCCCAGAAGGGAGCACAGAATCTCGTTCACTCACTTTAAAGGATCTGAACTATGGCAACGAAAACCCAGAGGAATTCTATTAGTTAACGTTCTAGGTACCAGGACATCCTGAAATATTCATGAGGATTTCCATGTTTTAATTTTTTTTTTAAAAAACGGCACCTAAGGTTTAAAAAGAAAAACATTCACAAGTGTCAGGAAAGAATCATCATCACTCAGGGGGAGGGGAACACAGGGAAGTCATCAAATGGGAAAGAAATGTAAGATTTGGGTCACATGGATCGCCACCCTGAATGTGCAAATGGACCCACATTTATTACTGCTCCACCCCAAAGATGACCTGAGAAGCCAAACAGCCCAATGAACAATGTCTCTTTCAAAAGCATCAGTTTGGGGCCGGTCCCGTGGCTTAGCGGTTAAGTGCACGCACTCCGCTGCTGGCGGCCGGGGTTCAGATCCCAGGCGCGCACCAACGCACCGCTTCTCCGGCCTCATGGCCGCGTCCCACATGCAGCAACTAGAAGGATGTGCAGCTATGACATACAACTATCTACTGGGGCTTTGGGGGGAAAATAAATAAATAAATAAAATTATACAAAAGCATCAGTTTGGCAAAAACTAAAATATTAAGAAATAAATACTTTGCAATCATGAAGAATTGAATCTTCTAAATTCTCAGTTTTAAAACTAAAAACTTCTAGAGATTCCATGTTATAGGCACTGAAGTGACTCTCCTCCTCGTGGCTGGAATAGATTCCAGAAGTGACAGATGCCTTAAGGATAAAACTGGAAAGAATCCAACAGTGTTTGTA